ATAATAATTGATTTACAGCCCTTTGTTTAGTTACTGTTCGAAGTTACAACAGTATTGAAAAAATGACTTATGACCACTCCTCGCACTTATGACTGTCTCAGCATGCCCATGGTCACATGATGAAAATCCAGGTGTTTGTCAACTGGCATGTATTTCTAGTGGTTACAGTGTCTTTGGGGGGGGGGTGTCACATGATCGCCATTTGCAAACTTCCCAACCAGAATCTGACAAGCAATGGGGGAATCCAGATTTACTTAACCACTGTGTAATTCACTTAATATCTTCAGTGATTTGCTTAACTACAGTGGCAAAAAGGTCATAAAATTGGGTGTGATTCACTTAATGACCAACTTCCTTACCAATCGAAATTCTGGTCCCAATTGTGGTCATATCTCAAGGACTACCCGGAAATGCACTTATAGGCCAGATCTCTTCCAAGCTGTGGGAGGTCAGCCAGATGCTGCCACTTACGCGTTATTCATTCCAGTATTTAATGTGATTACTATCTAAAGAAACACTAACACCAAAGAAACATATCTTTTTATCACAATGTCGGAGGTGCCCTTGTCAGGCATTTCCAGGGATGTCATAAAAAAATGTCAAAATGGCAGCCATGATGGTGCAAGGGAAGCTCTGGCTTTCTATGTGTGGTGGAGATCAAAGAAACGATGTGTGTGATGGCCATCTTGAGTTTTTCACTCTGGGGATTTCTGTCATTTTCAGATTTGTGTTCTCTACCAAGGAAAATGCAACGTGGCAGAAGAATAATATTGCCTATTAACTTTTTCTTTATTAATCACAAGGAAATTAGTACAGTAGTTTCTCATCTTTTCTCATCTTTCCTACTATCTTCTCCTATTGATTTCAATTGTTGATTGCAAGTGATGATTAATTATTGTAACTATGATTTATGACCTATTACTTGCTGTTTATATGTACACTGAGATTGCTTATGCACCAGAGACAAATTCCTCGTGTGTCCAATCACACTTGGCCAATAAAGAATTCTGTTCTGTTCTGTTCTGTTCTGTTCTGTTCTGTTCAACACTGCCAGCTGCAGACTTATTCTGGACACGGTTTACATTCTTTCCAAAGGCAAAAGCTATAAGTACAGGTAGTCCTCAACTTACAAACATTAATTTAGTGACTGTTCAAAGACCCAACAGCACTGCAATAAGGGAGTTATGACTGGTCCTCATCACAGCATCCCCACCATGATGTGAACAAAATTTGGCGCTTGGCAACCAGCATATATTTATGGCAATTGCAGCATTCTGGGGTCTCTGATTGCCATTTGCGATCTTCCCAGCCGGCTTCCAACAAGCAAAATCAATGTGAAAAGTTGTATTTGCTTAACAACCATATGATTTACTTAACAACTGCAACAATTTGCTTAACCGTGGCAAAAAAAATTTTTTTAAAAAAATTGTGCCCAATTCACTTGGCTAGCAGATCTGCACTGCAAAATCCAGATGACAACTAGATGGCAGCAGAGAGTTAGGGCTTTCTGTAGCTGCTAATGGTTATCTTGATTTTCCAGCCCAGATTTGATAACTCTGGATAAGGGATTTTATTGAAATGCAGTAAGCTATAAATGCAATAAGCTAATAATATTATAACATGTAAGTATGAGGGATCTATTTTCCAGCAAGATTGGTCCAAAACATCTGGACTCTGGACTATTCAAATCTTGCCAAGCTACAGGCAAATAACTTGAACACATTTACATCCTAAGATTTGTAGCTGCATCCCAAACCTTCTTACTCATGGGTGAACCAGACTGTAAATGGGTACATTAAGGAGCATCCTATTCAATTCTCAATATAATATGGCTCAAAGCTGAGTTAGAACTACTTTTATTGAACTTCTGATTTGCCAATGAATCTGTGTAATCATTTATAAGGCTTGATGAAAGTCATCTGGTGATGCTTGAACAGGACAATAAAAATGATCTGAGACAACTCCCAATTTACCTTCTATTCTAATGTTTCTGCATCTTGGCATTTTAAAGATATATGGACTTCCACCCCCGGAATTTCCAAGCCAGCATTGAGAGTGAAAGTCCATATATCTTGAAGCTGCCAAGGTTGAGAACAAACTACTTCAATCAAAGCTGCATGGAGATATCACGACAAGCTTAATTTCAAGGCAACATGAACATCTGGTCATGCCATAATAAAGAAAGCATACCCAGGGTTAGATTTTCATTAGCAGGTGGCACACATAAACTCTACCATTTATACAACAAACCAGGGGTGAGTTCTAAATTTTTTTACTACCGGTTCTGTGGGCGTGGCTTATTTTGTGGGCATGGCTTGATGGTCATGTGACAATTCTTTAGGATTTAGCAGAGGTACTGGTCTACCAGGCTTTTAACTGCTTGCAGAGCTGTACCGATCTACCCATTTATTTTTGCAGGCACTGATCTACTGATGTATTTTTGCAGGCACTGATCTACTGATGTATTTTTGCAGGCACTGGTCTACCCATTTATTTTTGCAGGCACTGATCTACCCATTTATTTTTGCAGGCACCGGTCTACCCATTTGTTTTCTTTTAACACTGATCAGCTGTAGGGCGGCCCTTTGAAGCCCCGTGGCAAGAGTTTAAACAGTTTTTTTTCCCCTCTAGCCATCAGCTGGGACTCAGGAGGCAGCAATGGATTGGGGGTGGGGCCAAATAAAAGATAAGAATAACGCGGGGGGTGGGGGGCGGAGGGCAGAACCAGTTCGGTGACATCATATTGTCACCGCTACTGGCTCGGCAGAACCGGGCCGAACCAGGAGGAACCCACCACTGCAACAAACAAAGCAAAATGGAGCACTGAAGTGCTAAACGTAAGGTTGTGGTTAGTAGTCACACAAACAGTTTTATAGATAGTCTACAACCTACGGTCACAATTAAGCCCAAAATTGCCATTGCTAAGTGACACAGTTGTTCAGTGAGTTGTGCTTCATTTTACAACCTTTTTGCCACAGTTATTAAGCGAATCACTGCAACATGACTTGAACATGAAACATCCCTTTGTTAAATAAATCTTGGTTCCCCCAATGGCTGCTTGTTGGAAGCTGGCTGGGAAGTTCACAAATGATGATCACATGACACAAGAACAGTGCAACTGTCATAAGTAAATGCCAGTTGCCAAGCACTCAAAATTTTGATCACATGATCATGGGGGTGCTGCAATAGTCATAATTGTGAAAACTGATCATTAGTCACTTTTGTCAATTCTATTAAAACTTCCAAAGGTACCTAAACAAATAGTTGTAAGCAGTGGTGGATTTTAAATTTTTTTACTACCGGTTCTGTGGCGTGGCTTGGTGGGCGTGGCATGGCATTGCTTGGTGGGCGTGGCAGGGGAAGGTTACTGCAGAATCCCCATTTCCTCCCGATCAGCTGGGACTCTGGAGGCAGAGAATAGATGGGGGAGGGGCCAGTCAGAGGTGGCTTTTACCGGTTCTCCGAACTACTCAAAATTTCCGCTACCGGTTCTAAAGAACTAGTCAAAACCTGCTGAAACCCATCTCTGGTTGTAAGTTGAGAACTATCTGTATTGCTGACTTTGATTTACAGAAAGCAGTAAACATACACATCAGAGATATACCGGTATTGTTAGAATTGCTAGAAAATGGGGGAAAGGGGTTTCTAGCTATTCAGATCATCATTTCCTATCTGGTTGCCCACCATAGAAGTCTTCAGGCTCTAGAATTTCCAGTCAATATGGATCTTACTATCTTAGCAGCACAACAGAAGGACATTTGGTTAGGATACTTTATTGCTTTGATTTATGTAACCCTACATCCAAGGGCATCTCCCTAGAATGGAGGATCAAATACTTCAAGATGACAGCTGTTACCAGAAGACTGATGCTCCACCTTTTTAGGAAGTGCATTGAGATCTACAAACAGGAAGGACTTTGACTCTAGTGGCCCAACTGCTCTCTTGACTGTTTTGAATCCCCCAGATGTCCCTGCCTTCGTGCTATTTCCTTGGTTTTTCATGACATGTACAATGTTGTTTACAGGGAGAAGGTGATTTAGGAGTTCCACAAAGTACTTGCAGTTCTTGAATGAAAACAAGGTGATAAGACTCAGAAGTTGATTGCTTGGGAACCATGGTGGCGCAGTGGTTAGAATGCAGTACTGCAGGCTAACCCACTGCTCATTCCTGGAGTTCGATTCTGACCAGCTCAAGGTTGATTCAGCCTTCTATCCTTCCAAGTGTCAGCGTTCCTGACACCAAGGTTGATAAAATGAAGAGCCAGATTGTTGGAGGCAACACACTGAATCTGTAAATCGCTTAGAGTGGGCTGTAAAGCACTGTGAAGCGGTGTATAAATCTAAGTGTTATTGCTATTTACATGTTCTTTTGGATGCAGGCCGGGATATCTCCAAGACCATCTTCTTACCCCAAAAGATCCAGGAGAAAAAAACTTGCTGATGGTCTTTTCCCCCAAAGGAATTCAATTTGTGGGTACCTATAGACAACTCTATAGGTAGAGTACATTTTTTGTGAAAAGGAGCTTTCATAAACCTGGAACACTGCCTCTGTAATGAGCTTTCACAGGACTATTGAAACATGGCTTATGGTGAGTAATGGATGACATTACAATTTGGCTTGCCTGTGGTGGATGGTTTTGGAGTTAAATGGTTGGAAGTCCATGCTGTTTTAATTTTTTCCTTAATAACGTACAGTATATTTCTGAAAGCTGCAGGAACAGAGCAGCGTAAGTATTATACAAACACACTGACAAATATCTAGTGAGTGATTTGGGGTAACTTATTATTATTATTACTACTCTAAAAATCAATAGTATTCCATGAAAACTGAAGTAAGCAATTTGACACTTTCCACTAAATTTTCTATGTACTAAGTAGGGACCAGATACCCAACCCTATTTGTCTAAAATTAACCCAACTGAAAATCCTTTTTGTTTCTTCTTCGTATTTCTGTGCTATTGAAACCTAAATTTCAAGTTAAAATTCAGGTCCTGAAACAGATTAAAGTTTTCATCTTTATTAATCAACAGAAGCAAAACAATATTTTGTAGTAAAAATATATGGTTTTTAACAAAAGAAAGTCAACTCTTGAAGGAGACAATAGAAAGAAATTTAATGGGATAACAAATTAGAAAATATTGCCAATGCAAGTGTATTTATGTCTATATTTATATCAACATTGCAGTCCAAACAGATATACACAGATTTGATTAGGATTGTACCATAAAGCCATTAATTCTCAATTCATTGAGCAAGGAAGGTCTTTGTTTGCATAGAAAATCACTTTCCGTATTCAGAAGTACATCCCACTAATTTAATATATCGTATTTAAATATTAAAGCCATAAAAATTAGAGCTCATTGCTGTAAACATGCACTACCACATTAAAATGAAGTTGGTGGAACTGAGTTTTAAGTCCATGTACATTATTTAAGGCAACAAAAATAATATCCAGACTTAAACATACTAGTTTTAAACTATCAATGGGGGGTTTCCTATAGGGGGACAATGGTATCGTTCTTCATGTGAATAAGCCAAGGTAATGTTAAAATAATTTGTTCTTGGCTACAATATAGGTAGTCTGTGACTTATGATCATTTGTTTAATGACTGAAGTTACAATGGCACTGAAAAAGTGACTTACAGTATGGCCATTTTTCACACTTATGATCATTGCAGCATCCCTGTGGTCATGTGATCTAAATTTAGATGCTTGGCAACTGGCATGTACTTAGGACAGTTGCAAAGTCCCAGGATCATGTGATTCCCTTTTGCGACCTTCTGACAAGCAAAGTCAATGAAGAAGCCAGATTCACTTAACAACCATGTTACTAACTTAACAACTGCAGCAATTCATTGAACAACTGTGGCAGGAAAGGTCGTAAAATGGGGTAAAACTCACTTAACAGCTGTCTCACTTAGCAATGGAAATGTTGGACTCAATTCTGGCCATAAGTCGAGGACTATCTGCATAAATGTCTTTACTTTTAACATTTTAACTTGTCAAAACAAGTCCGCTAGGTTCCTAAGAATCTCACTGCCATTTTGTAACTTTAAAAATGTGTAACAGCTGCCATGGAAAATTCATTCTATGGCTTTGCCTTTTTCAAAATACAGATTGAAAGTTCATATTGTGACTTTAAATAAATATCATCATTTTTTTTCATGAGAGTGTGGAAGTTTTCATGGGTGAGAAGTCAAGACGTCTGTGATATACAATAGAAATTGCTCAAATATATTTTCCAATGGAAATAGTAGAGCGAGGGTGTGTTTGAAATGTTAAACGTACTGATGCATAAGTAAGAAATTACTGCGAAGTGGGGAAAGGAATCGAAAGCCACAATCACTGAAATGAGGAAACCCTTTTTATTATACAGTGTAAGAAATAATAAACAATTATATTCCTGAGTTAGTAATACCTTCCAATCAAACTATTAGACATGGCTTATTGGTACTAGTTATGTTTTCCTACTTGAGTTGCCTACTTACTAAATGATGCTTTAAAAAAAATTATGATAAGGCATAAGAAGGTACCATATGAACTGATTGGATTGTCCAGTTAGATCAGCCAAGTAGATCAATTATTTCATTTTCATTGCTCATTCTCTTCCCAACGCCAGGATGTAAAACCTGTTGGTGACCCTTTGCTCCTAAGTAAAACAATTTTATATAAGGCACATCAATTTTTCTATGACAACTTGCCATGGCTAACTGACCGTGGGACAAGAGTTACACTAATATGGAAAAAGCAATAGAATCATTAAAGAATGGATGCCAAAGGAGGGGCAAAATGAAATGTGAAGGATACAAATTAATTTTTTTCAAACTATTTTAACCAATTAAATTGAATTGCTGAATTGTCCCACAGCAAGTTCTCCTGTAGCGAGTTGGCCATGACAAGTTGTCTCGCGGTGAGCTGGCTGTGGTGAGTTGGCCATGGAGACTTGGCTGCAGCCTGTTGTTCCATTCTGGTTTAGAAAACTGCCCTAGCATTGATCTAAATCTACAGAGAATAAATCAGCAGGTTTTGGAAAAGTACAACTCGCATAGATTTGAAACGGCATTTTTACTCATAATCAACAGTTTCTCCTATGAAAAGTGCAGGGTTTTTGAGTACAAATGACACAACATCTTTAAAAGCTGACACTAATAGTCCAATATCCGAAATAGACAAGACAAAAAGGCATGTTAATTTATCAGTCTATATGAAGGTTTGTTATGAAGATTAATGGAAGGTAGAGAATGTAGAATTATTTTAGTTTATATTCTTCATCCAGATGCTGCTGATAATAATAATGATAATAATGATAATGATGATGATGATGATAATAATAATAATAATAATAATAATAATAATAATAATGTTTGTTGCTTTTTAGAGTTCACTGTGCATCTCATTTTCTTCTTGACAAAGACCTATCAAGAGAGGGCAAAATTAGACACCAATGGAAGATCAAACAATTAGATTATCTCACAATTACATGTTTATATTTATTCAGGTTTCAGATACCCTTGATCATCATGAATAAATTAATCACCATTGTTCAAAAATCATAAGTCATATCCTAATACACATTTTGAAAAAGAGAGTTACTGATGAGTTTTTAATGTTATAGTAGTTTTTTTCATTTTAAGGCTGGTCCAATGTATTCAATGATTTGGCACAGTATTTTAAAACAGAGCAACCAGATTTTTTAAATATAACTTCACACATAATTTTAGGCGTGTTATGATAAAAAAATCTTTGAAGTGAACAGTATCTGAAAGTCCACATTTTGGGCAAATTGCTGGCATTAAGACAATGAGCAAATATGTGATGATTGAATTGCTATTTAACACAATTGTTCTCTTCCTCTATAAATTTGATAGAACTGTCTATTCTTACACACAACACACAACTTTTCCTTTCAGTATTTTGCTTTGTAGAAGCTGTTTCAATTTAATAAACAAAGAACTTTGGTATAAAAATATTAAATGCTCTGTATAGAAGATTCCTGCCCATTTATCTAAAAATCACAGTCCCAGTCTTTAACAAAATTATTGGGAAATAAATCCCCTTTTTGTGCTCCTTATTTCTGAATCAACAGAGTTAATACTGGCATCTAATCTCTGACAACATAAATAGCCTGAGCTTGAACTGATTCAGTATTTCGCGACAGGAATATGTTTCAGATACCTTAGCAAAACAGAATAAACAGTTTTTTCCCCCTATTGTGACATACTTGGGTTTTCCTTATGAGTTCTTTTAAAGAGCTCAAAGAGATCTAAATAATAAGCTAAAATCAGAATTACAAAATGACATCAAAGAAAAAATAAAAAGGGCTAATCGGAAAGGGATTGTCCTCAGATGACTGCCGCGTTTATTCCTAGAAAGCTTGAATTTACACAACTCATCATAGGGGAAGATTAATAAAACTCTGTATTTACTAGAAATTTCTGGGCAGGCGGGAGAAGAAAAGATAATTATGAAACTGTAAAGGCTCATTAAAAATAGATCAGTGGAGAGTACATCTTTATCTTCAAATCCCAGAGAATGTTATTAGAATACAGTGAAAATGTTAGCATCATTTGTATATTAACGCTGAGTTGCATTGCGTAGGACTTGGTTGTCCTGTCTTGGGCTGGCAACCCATTTTGAAGGATAGTCTTAGCAAGTTGCCTAGAAAACACTGAATTTGAAAGCGGTACTTTCGGAGCAATAATAGATGTGCCAAACTGAACAAGTGAAATGGAAGCAATAGAATAATAGAAGCATTTTTCTATCCTTGTGAGACTTAAAAATGCATGAATGGCTTCTGCTCAAGCTTTCTACATACATAAATAAATTCACCTTTGGGATGAGAATGAAAAATTTCAGCCAAAGAGAATAATTTTTCAGAGTTATGAGCACGTGAAGCCGATTAGAATAATGGAAACCTCTATATTACCTTAATGATAATAATGGGTTGGGGACAGATGGACATAACAGCAGTCTATTATGTGGTTGAAACAAATTAACTGATACAAATCCAGGAATACTACATTCTTGACCAATGTCTTAATCCTATTGCTTCTAAACAGCATAATTACAAAATAATAGTGGAGCAATGAAAATTGTCCTTTAAGCAAATTAATGTCCACCCAATTTTGTTTAGGTAGACTTCACTGGCACAACAATAAATTCTGAGTTATGCATTGATATGAATGTCATTGATCCTACAGCAAATCTTAGATTCCAGCTAATGACTACAATGTCTGTTAACTTTAGAAACAATTCCTTTAAGTAGAGGAGAAAATATCTTTGTAAGAACTGTGAAAAAGAATAGATAAAGGCTGTTTCGCTCTTTTGATTCCTTCCTGGCAGAAAGAGAATATAGAGATTTTAAGTGAGATCAAAGAAATCTTTTGACAGATAACTGATCCATGGTTGTCTGTATCAAAAAAACCAACCCTCATCTTTTTAACATAGCTTGTGAAAGAGTTTTTGGCTTTTTTTTTTTTTTTTTAATGAAACACCAGATGTAATCATCATGTAAACATGGAAGAAACACCACATATTTTTCTAGCCTCAGTTTGACAGATTATAGGATAAGGAATTAAATCCATAGAAAATTTATCATATATTGCTTTTAATAAGGTAATGATGCTCTGCGTTTCCCCCACTCCTGATGAAAGAGGTACATAAATCAGTAACTGCTTTGTAAGGCATCTTTCTTGTACACTATCACAAATATGTCACAGTCGCTAAAGTGTGCCTTGTAAAACATTTCACACAGACCGTTTATCTTTTGTGTTGCAGAGAAATGCATACTGACACAATTAGTTACTTCAACCAAGTCATTTTTTCCACAAATTTCAAATAAGCTATAATATGATTTGTAGAGATGGGAAATGAGTTGGGTACATTCAACACCCACAGGGTTTCCCTACATTTTGTTAGGCTCTTTTGTTTCTTACATTTATGGGGCAATTTCTGGAAATGTGATTTTTCTTCTAGTCTCGAGGCAGACATCAGCTAGTAAACATAAAGTGCTTGGTTTGCTAAAGCTGAACATTTTTATAATTGGAATGAGTATCTATATTTCCCCTTTTTCCTTTGTTTTAGCATTTGGAAGGGGATCTTTTTAAAACTTTCTACTTACTGAAGCAATAGAAAGAATGTATGGCTGTTTACTTTTCTTTCTGAGTTTTCACTTTAGCATGTCAGCCATATTTATAATCCTGAGAGATTTTACAAGGTCAGACAGAACTGATCTTTCCTGTCATTTGTTTTTCCTTGTTTCTTGTAAATAACCTGTGCAGGCACTAATAGCAAACTACTATGACCTCCTCCTCCTCCTAATCCTCCTCCTCATCAATATTTCTATTCAGTTCTTCAAGAAGAAATGTTTATGGCTTCGATTGGTCTTTCTCATCATTCTTTCTATGAATTTTCCCACAATCCTAAACACATTTTAGACTATGTAAACTGGCCTAGAGGAGCAATCTAGCTTCACAGTTCTAAATATTATTAGAGGGAAATAAGTCCTATAGCTTCCTGATCAAAGGTCACCAACTTCTCAAACACTGTTAAATTGCAGGGAGCCACACTACCAAAATGAGAGTTGTCTTGAAGTTATGATCTATAGTCAGATAGATAGTAGACATATAGGCAGACAGGCAAATAGATAGATACTGATCTGACCAAAAGAGCCATTATTTTCACTATTAACTGGGGAAGACCACAACCTAAACTCAGCTTGATTCGATCACATTTATTTTTAAATGAATCCTATTTATTTAAGGTTACCACTTGGATAAGTGTGCGTACAATGCATCCTAAGAACCCAGTATATCATATCTTACTCTGTCAAGAATAAAAGGAAGAAAGACAACTGAAAGGCTATAGACTGGAGAAAAGGTGCTTTAAAACAAAGGCAAATTTGAAAATGAGATTAACATGCTGGAGGAAATTGACTCACACTATTCTTCTCTTTCTTCCTGCTTATTTCTACACTTTTCTCTTTACTTTCACATTGTTTGAAAACTTTGGAAGGAAAAGGCAAACTGTACATGAGTTTTAAAAGTGACCATGTGGGACAATTTGTTTCTACTATATTAAGAACATCAGTTATATTGTGATCAAGTGATAGATGAAATTTAAATAATTTATCTTTTATTTGCAATAGATTTTTTTTTAAACAATTACAAATTTCTAGACTGTAAATTATTAATTCCTCCCCTGTATTCTTATGAATTCTTTTATTACCTACTAATTGGCCCTGTTAACATTTGCTAGAGTTAACATTAGATCTTATCATCTCTCTAAATCAGCTTTTTAAAACTCACCTATTTTTACAGTCTGCTCATTCAGATGTGATAGCAACTTCATCCTACGTATATTTCCTGCTATGACACAGTTTGTTTTGTGGTCTTATACCAGTAACTGTCCATAGCATTTCAGTTTATATGTATTTAGAATTTGACACAAGAGATTGGCTAGTCGTAAAGCAACCTTCTTGATTTTAGAATCAACTACCTGAAACTGAAGCCAAAATGAATAGATGAAGAGATTCTTGCAGGAATACCATCGCTTAAATTCTATTTCTATTATTGTCTTCATAATAGTTGAAAATCAGATGTCAATTTAGTTAAAGGAACCAACTTTCCTAGGCAGGGAATTTAGCCAACATTAAAATACTCTACTGGAACTCCAGACCCTGAAGTAAACTCTTCTAATATATATATTTGCCTATTCATCCAAAAGAAAACAAATCTTCTTTTGGATATGTTTTCTTTTGGATGAATAGGCAAATATATTTCTTCTTTCTTTAACCAATGTTCCTTGGCACGGCAATGCCCATGCACCTTCAATCTAGAAAATATTATTTTCCAAAGTGTTTTTGCTGCATTCCAGCAATACAACATGGATTGGCGGGGGTAGGGGAGGGAGAAGGGGGGGGAGAGAATTGCTGTTGAGAAAGAAGCACATGTTACATCAGACACAGTACCTGATTTTTCAATGCACAGCTTGTCAGCCAGAGAGTGTGACTCCCGAGTGATAACTGAGAATATTTCATCTTCATACTGTTCTATGATAGTTTCACACTGTAAAGAGGAAAAACAGCAGCAAAGAACTAAACAAGGCCATTTACACAGAGCAACCAAAGAATATCATGTCACGAGAGACAATTTGGGGTTGTTAGTTTTTTTTTTTTGCCGAGGCAGCATGCCTGCCTGATCGGTTGTCCTGTAACAGTATATATAGCATTAACAATATACTGAGATTTCATTATAGGCTCATTCAAATTCTATCTGTTGAAAGCGAATGATGAATGATTCCGTTTAATGCAGGTTATTCATTGTGCGATACAGTTGGTTGAAACAGTTCTAGGGATTGATGCTAATGCTTTGAAATGGACGGATGGATAAAACATACACAATATGTGCATATGAGGAAGGAAACTATTTCACTATATCACCAAATAATAACTTATTTTTCAAAATGAAGAAAGCATCAGTGACTTCATATAACATAAGTTCTATTTCTGATTTGGTCAGCGTTGGGCCTCCTCCCAATGAAGCTTTACTTAAGTCACTTGGCCTTAAGCATTGGCTATAAGCTCCTGTCCCCAAAATCTGCAAAGAATCCCAGCAAGGGAGAAACATTATATAAGATGCCCTTAAAAATAATCAGGAAGCCAACTTTTATCACAAAAAGACCCGATTCTACCATAAAATTCTACCCCCACCCCCCAAGAATCCAGTTCTTAGGTTCAAATCGCATACGTGATGTGAATTCTTAAATAAAAACTGCTTCAGCACATGAGATAAGACTCTACAGATTTTGTAATGCAAAAATTGTCTTCAAAGAATGAAATTTCAAATATTAGCTCCTTAACATTTTTACATGCTCTCTTACATTTATTTAGAATTTTGCAAACAGCTTGGATGATCCTAAAACAACCTTCTTGGTTCTAGAATCAAATAAAAGGTAAATGAGTAGATAATGAGATTCCTGCAGAAATCCTTTGCCCAAATTCCTTTTTTGATCATTGTGGCAATTGTTGGAGATCAGTTATTAATTTAGTTAAAGGAACCAACTTTTCTTGGCAAGGAATTTAACTGGCATTAAAATACCCTACAAGAGCTCCAGACATATTAGAATCCCAAAGTAAATTCTTCTAAAAGAACAAGACTTGCTTTCTTTTCCACAAATCTAAATTTGGATGAGCAGGCAAATATATTTCCAGATTTCTTTCTTTTTTTCACAGGCCCATGATGAAAACATTATTTTCATGAGTATTTGTTGATATTTGAGGCACAGGGCAGCTCAAGAACAACACTCTTGTGTCAACTTGCTCTAGATCTCCATTTTACCTCTCAACAAAGTCCGAAGAAAGTGGAAAAGAAACAATAACTAAACTCTCCACCACTTCAATAGCTATCAGTATTTGAATTAGCAATCTTTAAATCTGAATACAAAACCTAGCGTCAAAATTTCATGTTTTCTTGCAGAACAGAGTAGCCAGTTGTTGTCTTTAGATTCATATTGTTGAAAATCATGGAAGGTAAATCGGTAAATTTGTGTTGCTTTTCTATCGTTTATTTTAAAATGCTTTTCTATCTTTTATTTTTAAATTATTTCAACTTAAATATTTGATAAACCAAGGTGAAAATAATGTGGCATTACCATGCATACTTGTTCTGAAGAATATTGAGATCTATAGTCCATGGTGTTTCTCTTGCTTTAACCTATCCTGTCCAATTTATTATTATTTAAGACAAATTAACTCAGGGCCTGAAAAATACCCAAATACTATAAAAGTCTTAAATTTAGATTCAGGGAAGCAAATTAATCTAGAGTATCAAATGTGAGGATCAAAACAGTTCATTCTCCAAAGTCATTAGTTTATTCTGTTGTCTTACCGCATATTTCAAGGGTTTATAAGCATCAGAATAAAAGAAATATTGTTTATATATTGGATATATTTCCTCATCCTTCCTTGGAGCATATCTCTTGAACATCTTTTTCTTAGTTACAGGATCATCCTCAAGTTTGTAATCATTCATCCGATCGCATATATTTTCCAAAATGTCTGTTAAGAAGGTCTCTGACTTTGCAAAAGGAATCTAAAGAAAAAGATTTACAGAAATATACATCTTTCAGATTTTACCAAAGCAAAATCCTGGAGGCGTACATAAACACAGAATCCTTAACCTGGATTGACAGTACAGAACAATGCCTCCAGATCTCCGTATCTACATAATTATTGTCTGATATCGTATTACATATATAATTAAAAATGTCAGCTAAATCTAGGATGAGTCTGGAAATAATTAAACATTTAAGATGCTAATAAAATATTCTTTTTAGCCTGAAAATATAGGTGCCATTGTAAGCTGATTTTAAATGCAAGAGGTGCTTAATTTTTTTTTTAGAAATTGCAGAGGTATATTTTATGTTCAAAACTCAACCTCTAAAGAGAGAAACTTTGTTTTTCAGGTCTCAGTGAAGTCTTAATAGATTCCTTGTTAGAATGTGCTTGGTTTCTTTAACCAAAGCAAAGTTTTCAAACATTCTACCCCCCACCCCCCAATACACCCACACACTCACACACTCACACCCACACCCGTCCATCCTTCAGTTAGTCTGACTTGCTGTTCGTCAAGTCACTTGCAGCTGTTTAATGCCTCCCAAGGGTTTGGGCAAAGAAAATAATCACTTACAAAACTGTACTTCTCCCAGAATCTACTATTTCAGGTTTTCTTTTCAAACAGCTGGCCCATGTCTTCGCCCTTTCCTCTTCCTTCAGAATTAAGCAAGAATTCAGGGGACACATTTAGACACACACTACCTACGTACTTAGCGAGGGTCTCAGCAGTCAATGCTACAAGGGTCAAAGAGCACCCCTTGCTCTTGGTAACAGAGACAAAAAAACTTCTCTCCCGTCTAGACAGGTCAAGGTGCACGATGCGCCCATCTCTGGAGCTTCTTCCGGAAGAGGGCGTGAATTGAAGCCAAGTGCACAGTAAACAACAGAGCTGCATCTTTGGGCCTTTAGAAGATTTCCCCTCTTCACCCTCTGCTGATCAAAGGAGGAAGTTATCATGACAACCAGAGTCAAAGAACCTGAATCACAAATGAACTCGATTTCTTCAGTGTTGATATATCCCATCCCTATTGTCTCTTTTCACACGCAGTATGAACCCTTCCGGTCTCAACGATTACATTACAGAAGGACTTTCATATGTGTGCTCCATTTGCACAAAGGGGGTCCCTTCTTCACCACCATCTGGTCACAAATCAGGGAAATAAAGGCAGGAGAATTAAAATTAAAGCTTAGAGTCCCTTCTCTCCAACCCCCATCTCTTGTGCATCTTGAAGTAGGCCTTTCTTCACAATAGACTTCCCTCCTTTTACCTTGTCCTACCTTGTAGTTAGAAACCTGAAGCCTATGGAAATAGGAAAGAACAAGAAAAGCTCAACATTAAAAAAAAAAAAGGAAAACGGCTAGTAGGAAATGTCCCTTCCTTGTTTCTGTCGTTCCTTTCTTCTTTCTCTTCCTTTTTTTTTTTTTTGGCAGATGTTCAGAAACAGATTTTATGTGCTGTATTGAAGGCTAAATCACAAATAAAATTGTTCTAAAAATTAAAACAGGCATGCACACAAACATGTTTTGTGTGTGTGTGTGTGTGGGTGGGTGTGTGGGTGTGTGTGTGTGTGTACATTCTCATATCTCAAAAATATATTCTTCCTCTATAATATAGAGACTGCATAGCATGTTTCCAAAGACATTAGCTGAAATGCATAGCCTGACACAACTTTTCTCCACCTTTATGAGTAGGCATTGCAAAGCTAGGTACTCTGATATTATTTGGAAAAACTTCTTGCTAATTTCAGTGGAGATTTAAAAAACAACAACACGTAATATATTTGCACCACTGAGTGGAAGCAAAAGCAGAGATACCCTTGCCTTTTTTTTTCTTCGTGATACTTTAATGTGTTAAAGTTTCTTTATTTTACAAAGTTTGTCTTAAACTCATTGAGATGAATAATTTGATTTAAAAGACGTCTACTACAATGATGTAATGAGAACGAAAGTTTAGGAAGTTTGATCTAGGGTGCATCGACAGTATACTCGGGTGTTCTTTAGCTATGAGGGTCTTAACTGATTTGGCTGCAAATAAATAAGGTTAATAATATTTAGGCCCATTTATTGCAATGCTTAAACATATCTTCCTGTGTATTGATGGTGAGTAAAGCACACAAGACCTACTTCTAAGTAGACCTCCTAGAACTGAACTTGCACCAACCATGGGAAATTAAAATAGAATGATGAGGCTGTTTAATGGAGTAGCTTCATATTTCAAACTGTGCTGTTTTTAAGAGGACTGTTTTAAACAAAAAAAGATCTGCAGTGTTTTCTGAAAAAGCAGATTTAGCTAAGATTTTGGGGAGGAGTAGAAGGATATTTTGGGTGTATATATATCCAAGCCAATGAAAGATGCTGAGGTATCAAACATAAGGAGAAAGTACAAAAACATTTGAGAATTGCTTTAGCTCTGAATCATACAATTGGATATATATTGAGGTAATTAGAAGATAGATAAGACTTCAATTTGAGCCTTAAAAAATTATGTATTGCTTTAAAATAAGCATGTATTAGCCTCTGTTTCTAAATATACAAACTCTTCAAGAAACAGTGAATGACCAAGTCTGATGTCTGATATGGAGTTCCTACTCCAAAAGAATGTTTGGTGGTGCTGATCCTATATAGATATAAAATATGTACAGAATAATTCATGCAGGCATGTAGAAAAAAGAGGTATACACTCTACACACCCCAATATATTTCTGAGGGACTTGCTTGCTTTCACGACCATTTTCAATAGCCTATTTTTTTTACATTGAACAAAGTAGCTACAACAAATAAAGTCCCAATATTTCTTCTCTTCGCCCATCCCCAACTATTTAAAATGACCATAACTAAATTTAACACAAGGCATCCAGATGGTTTTCCTGTTTTACAAAAGTCCTGAGGAAAGTAAACTCTCTGTTAGCAGAGTTTTGCGTACAAGGAGGTGCTGCAGGCCACATTATACCCTCACCAAAATTCATACACACGTTAATAGATGAGGTTCTTATACCAATTTAAGACGGGCAATAGCACTCCTGCTTTTGTATAATTTTCTTGGTTCTCGAGTTAAGGGGGCATCCCTAGAAGCCACCGCAATTTATATTTCCAGTTGCATAGAGTTTTGAGAAAGATATATCAAATAACCACCCGTGCAAAACCACCCCTCCCAAAGTTAAGTATACTTTAAAATTGCTTTAATAATAAAATGGGGGGGGGGAGGTTGGACAAGGGGCAGAAACCAAAAGCAATTCTATGAAAGCCCTAAAGATTCTGAATGGTGCTTCTCAATAGACAGCTCCTATTGTAATCACCCCGGAGATGTGGGGCCTCCACCCTGGAAAAACTGCCTCAGAGATTGTAACCTCATTAAAATATGAATAACAAGTCAGCCGTCATTCAAAAGAAAGAAAGGCATCTTATTCTGCATCAAATTTCGCCATCATTTCAAACAACCACAACAGAGCAACATGGAACAACACCCCCCACCCCTCAAAAACAAAATAAAACAGAACAAAACAAAAAACCTTTTCCATTTCCCTAACTGGATGTTTGTCGCATGTGGAAACGATGTTAGCAGCGGAGTGGATTAAGCCTAAACATTTTCAAAGAAATCACTTGTGTTGCCAAATCTTTCAGAGCATGCCGATCACATCTTTAAAAGAAGAGAGAGAGAGAGAGAGAGAGAGAGAGAGAGAGAGAGAGAGAGAGAGAGAGAGAGAGAGAGAGGAAGACTCTCAGATAGTCTTTCCAAGATCACAAAACCTAAAAGAAGATGGGGGGAAAAAAGTTAATATCAACACACTTCACGGGTGGAAGAATGGAGACACCCCACAATTCCAAGATATTTTAGCCAATTTTAAGCCCCAGGATGGAGAATTCATTACAAGCAACAATGACACCTTCATAACAGTCAATTACATGGAAGCTCATGATCCAGTTCATTACTGTGTCTCTGCTAATTTCATCGTAAATTTCTGCCTTGATAGAGAACGCAACTCACCAAGAATGCAAGTGGGATGTGGAAAGAAAAATAAAAACCTAACTACTGCAGGTGGACAGCTTCCAAAACCCAGATAGCCAATCAAATATTTCTGAACAATACTTTCCATGTAAGAATGTTTCCCTCTCTTCTCTCCAGGTTTCACTATATATGATTTATGCCTGCTGGTGTGTATGTGTGTATCTACAGTCATCCATAAATATGTCCAACTAGAAGTAGATCCATACAGAAGTGAATAGAAGTATACATCTCTTTAGACTCTTCCACGCAGAAAAGATCACCAGCGTTGTCATTGGGAACAATATTCCAATTTTCAATATTTATTAAGGGTCAGTATTTAAAAATGAAAACTCAATCACACACACACACACCATTTGCTTTAGGCTAGTGCAGGAGAAACATGAATGCTGAACCACTCAAAAGGCTGATGGGATATATAATTAGCTATTATGTTAATTGAATCCACTGTGAGTTTATTGTATGAGATTTCTTCATATAATATGCAAATGATCTCTAAGGTTTAGTTTTATTAGACAATATAATTAGAAATCCTTTTAAAAGAGAGAATTCTAATGAGGTACAATAAAGGTTAGGAAAATATGTTTGCTATGTTGAGTTACCACCTGGGCTTGCTTAATTAAAATGAAGAGAGAGAGAGAAAAACTTCGCACACCGACCACATCACCTCCCATACATACACATTACACAAATGCAAAGTTTAAAACCTTAATTGTTACACTTCAGAAATTTAATTTAAATTTTTCTTTTTAAAAAAATCATTTATTTGTCCTTTATAATCCTTTGCCATTGGTTCATAGCCTAACAGGGTTTCATTCATTCCCCATCTATATTCTCTAAATTTCTTCTTAAGAATCACTAGGTTATGTTCAGAAAAAGTTCTTGGTATTATCTCTTTTCCAGTCCAGTCCAGTTAGATTCTTGAAGTTAGAGAATATATCAGTTCTTCACATTGGATGAGAAATGTTTGACTT